GGCGCGTGTTAAACCTATGGGAAGTACGTTCTTTCCCTTCTGAATAGTGTCTGCACGTACGTGAGACTAGTCATGTTTATAGCTAGCGCATTAGCGCTGCGAAGAAGTTTGTATATCCATCGCGAACTGTGTTTAGATGACATTCCTCTTTGTTTAAATTAGTTAAGATTTATTGACTAATTATTGTGATGTTCTCCTTATTGACGTGCTGCCTCCTCTTCAGATTTCCAATTTGATTTTAATTGTTGATGTAATGATTTTCCATGCGGTAGTGGATTAAATGTAACACTATTAAAAACAGACCTCTACTACTATACTGTCTAGTACGCACACGACCAGTATTAGTCTGTAAATCAAGACCCCTTTTAAAAAAAAGCCCCAATCTGTGCCGCATAAAAAAATAACGCCCCCTGGAACCCCAACGAGGGCTCTAAAGCGGGCCCCTGAATGCTCATCTGACCGTAATTGAATACCTAAAACCCCTGAGCTTCCGGGGCTCTGCCCCCTGGACCCCAACAAGGGCCCTAAGGCGGACACCTGGAAGCTCATCTGACCGTTATTAAATACCTCAAACCCCTGAGCTTCCTGGGCTTTGCCCCATGGACCCCACCAAGGGCCCTAAGGCGGCCCCCTGGATGCTCATCTGATCGTTATTTAATACCTTAAACCCCTGAGCTTCCGGGGCTTTGCCCCCTGGACCCCACCAAGGGCCCTAAGGCAGCCCCCTGGATACTGATCTGACCTTAATTAAATACCTAAAACCCCTGAGCTTCCGGGGGCTCTACCCCCTGGACCCCACCAAGGGCCCTAAGGCAGGCCCCTGGATGCTCATCTGACCGTAATTAAATACCTAAAACCCCTGAGCTTCCGGAGGCTCTGCCCCCTGGACCCCACCAAGGGCCCTAAGGCAGGCCCCTGGATGCTCATCTGACCGTAATTAAATACCTAAAACCCCTGAGCTTCAGGGGGCTCTGCCCCCTGGACCACACCAAGGGCCCTAAGACGGCTTCTGGATGCTCATCTGACCGTAGTTAAATATTAAAACCTCTGAGCTTCTGGGGGCTCTCCCCCCCCCCTCCCTTGGAACATGTCAATTGCCTTACAGAGGGCCCCTGGATGCTCATCTAACCGTAATTAAATACCTAAAACCCCTGAGCTTCCGGGGGCTCAGCCCCTTGACCCCCTGCCGAGGCTCATGCCCTGGACCACACGCCAATTTACGCTCGACTGGTGGTGATGCATATTTTTCGTCTGCCCCCCCCCCTACCGAACTTTTTTTTATCATTACGTCACTGCCCCTGGAATTTGAGCCCCCTGGAATGTTTACCCCCCCCCCCCCCCCCCCCAGTCCCAAACTCCTTCCGGCGCGCCTGCTTGATAACACAACACCGGCAAATCTTCATATCGACCCCTTTTCTGGTTTTATTACTGGGGATAAATTAAAAGCAATAATCCCTCTGCGCCTCAGAATAGTGTAAGATCGATGGTGAACTAAAACAATGCTGCATTATTATTTAGAAAATGCTTTGATTTTCTGCGTTTTGGGGGACACTCTACAAGGAAGATGTGCGCCTCCTACAGCTCCTCTTTGTATCGCTGACTCTACGTTTTGTATCGGCCCTCATGGGAATTAGCATTCTAGATTTTGTAAACACAATGCAAATTTTGACTACGAATCTACACATATGACATAGCCTATTGTATTGTATATGGTTCATGCGAAAAGTGGCGTAGCTATGGGGAGGGGGCACGAGGGGCACGTGCCCCCTCCCCTCTCCTCCAATCGAATGGCACAAATCATAAAAGGTTAGAGCGAGGAGAGAACAGAAAAGTGAGAACAGGATAAATAATGTGAGGTGATATAACGAGACAATTAAGAAATTGAAAAAAAAATTACGAAATGGTGTTTCATTTCCACCAACAAAACTATAAATAGAGGTTTGGAAGATACCTACAAGCTATAGGACGCAGGTCTGGGAGTTTTTTTTTTTTTTTATAATCTAAGTGTCATATTAATTTTCATAGAGATGCTCTATTCATATATGCCTAGGCCCCTATGTATACTACTGATCCTATTTAAGAAGAATAATCGAGTGTCTTTTCTCCCACAATTATCAACACTGGTGTTTTACCTTGTTGAATAATATGAATATGGTAAAGATTACGAGATAGCCATATTGTAACAGGGATTTTTACGAACAAAAAAAACACACCAATAATCAGGTTTTGTTTACAGGTATAATACACAATATCGTGATACTTCTTTATCCGATCTGCTTTAAGAGGCAGATGGTAAGAGGTGCAGTAAATGATTATCCGATCTGCTGTAAGAGGCAGATGGTGTGCAGTAAATGATTATCCGATCTGCTGTAAGAGGCAGATGGTAAGAGGTGCAGTAAATGATTATCCGATCTGCTGTAAGAGGCAGATGGTAAGATGTGCAGTAAATGATTATCCGATCTGCTGTAAGAGGCAGATGGTAAGAGGTGCAGTAAATGATTATCCGATCTGCTGTAAGAGGCAGATGGTAAGAGGTGCAGTAAATGATTATCCGATCTGCTGTAAGAGGCAGATGGTAAGATGTGCAGTAAATGATTATCCGATCTGCTGTAAGAGGCAGATGGTAAGATGTGCAGTAAATGATTATCCGATCTGCTGTAAGAGGCACATGGTAAGAGGTGCAGTAAATGATTATCCGATCTGCTGTAAGAGGCAGATGGTAAGATGTGCAGTAAATGATTATCCGATCTGCTGTAAGAGGCAGGTGGTAAGAGGTGCAGTAAATGATTATCGGAAAATGCTTTCGGATCTGCGTCCTTGACGTATATACAGCAGAGAAGAAAAAGAATGGATATCAGTGAGTGAAAGATACTGTAGAAGACATACGAGAAAACAGACAGAGAGTATTGTATTTCTGTCCGTTTCACTTAAAAATGCAAACATTTTCCCACTCTAAAGTAGTCCAGCCTCTGTACCGTTTTCGTTTAGCGCACCCAATCAGCTGATAAAATAACACACCCTCAACGTTGAAAGTATACCTAGCCATTCCTCTAAATCTGGACCTCGACGGAAATTTGGGGATTGCGCGATCAGTGGAGAGACCGTGCTGTGTGTGGGGGATAAAAAGAACGAACGGACTGAATCTGGACTAACTCTAAAGGGGCAAGGGGTATCAGGCGCGGATCCAGGATTTCTTAGGGGAGGGGGCCCAACTTTTTTTTTTTTTGCTCCCGAAAATTTGAAAAACGCGCCGGCCAAAAATTCGCTCAGTGGGGGGGGGGGGGGGGGGGGGGGGGGGGAGGGGGGGGGGGGGGGGGGGGAGGGGGGGGGGTAGTGAGCAAATTTTTTTTTTTGGGGGGGGGAGGGGGGAGGGGGGGGTAGTGAGCACATTTTTTTTTTTGATCCTCAAAAAATTTCAATTTGCACCCCCCCCCCCTTGAGCGCCAGGGGGGGGGGGGCCCAACCCCCAAAAAGGTAAAAATCACGTGATTTTACATGATTTTTTTCTCAAGGGGGGGCCCCCCCTGGATCCACCACTGAGGGGTATATCCCATCCCAGCTTGGTCAACTACTCCCCCAATCTTTCTCCTCTAATAAGTGACATTTTCTTTTCTGAGAATTGAACCTTATTTCTTTCTCCATAACATGTTCCCCTTATTTAAAGCGACTAAGAACAACTTCTTTTTTTTCTGTACTATATCCTAAGCTCATTATGTAACTTAATCACGGTCTTTCTATTCTGTCATGTTGATGTGCTTTAAACCCCATCAGGATTTTGTTCCCTTTTTATAAGATGTGATTGGTTGCAATGCCTCCTTGCATATCTTAAATTATTTTACTCGCTCACTTTACTCACTCGCAAATGAATATTCAGACCACCACACCCAGCTGCAAACTTGTACAGTATGATGCTTACGTAATATATTGGTATATACCAATGTCTGAAATGGTATATTTTCGCTTTGAGATTTTCCTTAGTATGCTGTTGGTGCCCCCCTCCCAACTTTGAAGGACCCATTTTTTTTTTTTTTTTTGTTCTCGAAATTTGAAAATTTGACATTTTGTTCCGTTGGGGGGGGGGGGGGTAAGGTCACCTTTTTTTTAGGTCAGCCATTGGTATAATGGCTGACCTAAAAAAAAAAAAAATCAAACGGGGAGGGGGTGGTTTTCACACAAAAAACATACACAAAACATATAAATAAAAAAAACTCAAGGGGGGGTTAACCCCCCCCCCCCCCCCTGCGTACGCGCCTGTGTTCCTCTTGATACTTGATACTTGATGTGGTAATCCCTGAAGCAGCTTTTCCAAGCTATACTGGGATGGGATGTGTTGTGACAGCAGGTGAAGGTGCAGACATCAAAAGGGTGTTCAATTGCTTTATACAGTAAAATAGTGACGTGCAAGTAAAAATAATCATGCTGCTATATGGTTTACAGCATTCTGGAACCTACAGGAGGTTCCAACCCTCTGATGACAGGGAGGGCGGTCATCTGGAAAGCAGCAACTGATGGGGCAGTAACTGCAGTGAATGGTAGTTGATTCCAGATGCGACTACCATTCACTGCAGTTACTGCCCCATCAGTTGCAGCTTTCTCAAAACTTTAAATAAATGAATAAAAGCGATACGTCCTAAAAGATAGTGATTCCTGGTTCCTCGTCCTCTTCTGCTTCCCTTCTTTTGGACCAGCCGTAATTTATTTTTTTTATTTGATACTTTTTGTTCTGTATAAGGATTCTGAGGACATCAGATTATTTGTTATCTCATTGTCTAGATTCTGAATAAGTATTGTATAATTAACATGGAACCCCTTCTCCTCAGAAAATCCACAAGAAACTACGTATCACAAGTATACTGTTTAATAGACGCCTAGACCCCTACATGTTTTTCTGTTTATGTTTGCTCTGTTGAGACACCATATAATGTGGCGACAATAGTCAAATCACTGACTAATCGCCAATAACTCAAAACACAACAACAACAACAACAACGCTGCACTGTACGCTGCACTGTACTGCACTGCAGATTTTCGTGATCTTGATTCCGATTAATAACGGGGTGGAAGTAAGTCTTTATTCGAAAGTTGATAATTTAATGATGATTTTGGCTTTTTGTTTTTTGCTTGTTCGCTCAACTTCGATGGGACATGGCGAAATTGCACTCACACCGCACCTGTCACTCATTGCGCGGAATGCAGAAGAGCAAAAGGACTCGGAGCCGCGCCGCCGGGCCTGGCCGCCGCGTCGGACTCGATTGCGCTGGTATATGGGCTCGGCATCTTCTTCTTCTTCTTCTTCGCTATAGGAGATAAGTACAGGCCGCGCATATTTTTTTTACACAACTGTTTAGCCATTTTCGCGAAAAAATTCCAAGAAGTGCTCTGGTGAAAGAGTCTAAGTCGTCAGAGCACTAGCATGCCCACCCATGCAGGGAAGGGAAGACATTGATAGAAAGGGGAAAACAAGGATGGAGTGGAGAAGGAAAAACAAGGAAATAGATCTAGACTCTACATTAGGAAAGAGAAGAGGATAAGTCAAAGGACGAGCATAGAAATACATAATTGAAGAGCTAAGAGGATCATAGATCTAGACTAAGGAAAAACAGGGAACTTACATAAGGCACTGGTTTTTTTAACTATGACCAAATAGCTTAATGACCCTTTGACACCCTGAAACTTTACAAAGATAAAGAATTATAAATCAGTTACAACTTTTTCTTGTAGCATGGACCTAGGTTAACCTCCCATAGCTCAACGAAAAATTTTCAGCGTTGCTTTATGTGCATGAGGTATCCCTGAACAGCCAATGTTTACGGAATTTTGTAACAAAATTGACATACCTTTTTGGTTGGAGCCGAAAAAAATATATACCCACAAGCAATACGTTTTTTTTCTATTGATGATTAATTAGCATGAGTGGATCTTAAAGAAAGTTAACAGTAATCTGAATTAACTCCTGTATTTTGATGGAACAGTGCAATTGAAAATGGTGTTTCGGACGTTACATTTTCCGTAAACAATGTAGGCCCTCATTTAACCCACTAGAACGATCATTTAATGAGATTGTTTATGGTTTGAATGAGCTTATTAGTTACTCCAAGTCATTAAATTAAAAGAAAATATAATTTAATTGTAGTAGCGCTTATATTAGAAATATATTCAAAATTTTAAAAAGGTGTCTCATTTTCCGTAAACAATTTTGTAACGTCCGAAACAACTTTCAATTTGAAGTAGCAAAAAATATATGAACTGCAGGACCTATCTTTCGTAACATTTTTTAAACATTTCATGGCGGCTACCCACCAAAAAAAAGAAATTTGCAATACATCATTGCAATACTATTTTATAGTTAAAACCAATTTTCCGTTAACAGTTGTAACGTCCGAAACAAAAAATACCAAATAAATGATGATAATCCATATTTGAGGGTATCTGGAGTGAATAAATCATTATGAAATAGGTTATTATAAGTCTTAACACAAGTCAAAACACAAATCAGGTCTTTCAAATCCAATAATTTTGTGTAAACTCAAGAAGGGTGTTTCGGACGTTACACTATTTGATTGTTAACACATAGTTTGCAAATATCAACTAATTTTCGATCATATGTGCAAGTTACGATTTCACAATGCACACTCCTGTTAAAAACACTATTTTGATAATTTCATTGAGATCTAAATATAAAAATATGAAGAAATATGATGAAAAAAATCAAATTTTCCATAAAATATCTAAAATTTCTGCAAAATTGACTTATAAAACATAAATATTGTAGCCACACTTTGTGGTGCAAGGCATTGCTGGCTGCTTTAGTATATCCTTAATTGTAATTTATCAGAAAAAAATCTCAATAAAAGTGACTCATAAAAATTATTCAGCCATTTTAACAGCACTTTCTGGTATGCTGTTAGCACGTTTCGGATGTTACATTAAAGTGTTAACAGACATGTTCATACTTTAACTAGTTCAAATGAGGGGCAAAGATAGATGTGAGAATAGCAAATTTAAATTGTTCAACCTCTCGTCTTGCTATTTACATTGCTGTGTGTTTGCAAATCATCACGTTTTCATTTTTACAGAGGTTGTTCCAAATTATGTCACATAACCAAAGATTGTATGGTCAACCTAAACTATTTGGTAGGTTACAAAAGCTCAAAATCACCCACTTAAGCAAACACGGGTATGATACAGGTATATAAAGTTGATAAAATCAAGCAAATTAAAATGTTTTTCTAAAAATGTATGGGAAATATGGATTTTCATTTGAAAATACCTTTTAAAAAGGGCACTCAGTACACGTAACTAATCTGTGTAGAAAGTACATACATGTATGAAAGAAAAGGGAATTAACAGTAATACCTTATTTAATGATCCTAAACATATACATGTAGTATCTTCCTCAAATGTATGCATACATACAAAATGTATAAGCTAGTGTAGGGGCTTATTTTGAACTTCTGAAACTCCCCTTCATATCCATGATTCATCCCTTTCATATTAATAGGTCATCCCGCATTCACACTAACCCTTTTCATCCACCATCCTTTCATCTGTCTATCTCTCTCTCTCTCATTGGTTTCAATTTTCACCTCATGCAGTCAAGCTGATAGTATAATTTACATATACTATGAATATTCAATATATACCCTTTGTTTATGTTTGAATATTCAAGAATACTTTGTGATGTTGATTTATACTTGTATGGGACTATATGAATATGTATTGATTTATTCTACTTTGCATGGAATGTATGTGGAATGCTACATAGAATGCTGTAATGCTTTTACACATTAAAACCTGGTCAGTTAGCCAGTAGTTATCAATCCTACAACATGTCTGCTGGGCTGCCTCTGTGTTAAGAGTGCTAGAAATTATCTGTTAGAACCGCAACCCTACACTAGTGTGAAATATAAATGGGCTGTCCGTTTTTTTTGTTTTCCTCTACGAAATGTCAAAGTTGGGGGTGCGGCGCTGCGGCCTTATCGCCGGCAAATACGGTACATGTTTAACCTACACTGTATATTGTTTGTCACCCGTGATATAGGCACAACAAGAGTTAAGATCTATCGACCAACCAACCAATCAATCCATCCATTCATCAATCGGTCATCAATTAAATAAATACTTATTTAAGAGCATTAACAAATTGTGTCGTTTGAAACAGCCTCCTAATACAAAAAGTGGTAAAGGATGATTGTTACTACAGTAGTATTATAACCTAACACATACACAATTTTAAAATACATATAAAATGTCTCACTCTCGAGATGTACATAAATTAGGATTCACTTATTTCTTATTACCGTACTTACATGACTGGGGGTACTTTTTTATAGTTTTATTTTTTAAAAGATTTGTCAATGTTTTGCTTACATACATGTATGAGTGATATTATTGAATGACACACTATAGAGTTGAAGGCAAAGAACATTAGCAAGCTGATTAAACATCTATATTGTAGAGTTTGTAGAAATTGATGATCTCATTGAAATGTTAACATCGTGTAACATCCGAAACAAACCATAGTATACATTTCACACTGTTGTTCATAACATGCAATATAGAGTAAGTTTCTAAGTGAATTTTCTAAGGAGTTTGGATGACTACAATTGCTATTAGCTTCATATTTCACTCTGTTAGATCACATAAGCATTTTTAACTACCGGTACCCGTTCTTGAAATGAATAATATACCTTACATAAATGGAGTGGTCGATGAAGACAAACTTGGTATACATGTATGTGCTAAACTAATTAAAACTGCACAATTTTTTTCATAAATGTTACAGAAGTATTTTTCTGCTAACAATTAATGTAACCGAGGTCAATAATACCTAAAGAAAAGCAATTAACTTGAATAAAGTTATAATGTTAACAGTGTGTAACGTCCGAAACATCAGTGGTGTGTCATATGAAAATTATTAGGCAATGCACTGGTTCCCATTTTTTTGGCATGTATTTACCTTATATCATCAGTTGTTATAATAAAATACGTTTGACCTAAGAAAAAAGCATTTTACCTATTGAAATAAAAACTTGTTATCGTCAAAACCCTAATTTAGAGCTATTTTTCACTTTCAAGTGATACAAAATCTGTATTTTTCAAGATAAAAACTCAACAATTTGCATGAATAATCTCTGAAACACATTCTTAAAGACCCAACATATTTTAAGGTGTAGTTAATAGCAAATGAGTTTTATATCACAGTTATTAGATATGCTATAGTTCACAATAAAATTGTAAAAACTCAAAGTATTCATATCTGGTGAATAAATAAGGAGATAGATTAAGGTCCAGAATTTGCATTTCTCAAAAATATGATTAGTCCTGATCCTAAAAATACAAGTTTGAAGTGAGTAAACATAATTTCATTTTGGACCCATTTGTGGACACATTTGGTATAAGTTAAAAAAACCAGTGCCATAAAGATCGAGAAATTAGGGAATCTATCAGATTAAAACAATTAAAGAAATAGATGACGAAGGAGAAAAGGATAGATTGAAGGAGAAACAAAGAAATACATAAAACAAAAGAGAAGAGGCTAGAATAAAAGAGAACAACTAATACATAATGGAAGAGAAGAGAGGATTAGATTTAACCCGAAACAAATAACGAGTACACATGTACAGCTCCAGCAATCCAACAAAACTGCCAAGGGTAATGCTAGACTCTGTTTCTAGTCGTTTGCACAGTATATTTGACTGAAGTGGCTAAACAGTTGTGTAAAAAAAATATGCGCGTACAGGCCACCGTCGGGTGTATTCTCGTACTGATTTTAGGTGCTGTGCAGGTGTATACACAGTGGCGTACGCAGGATTTTTTCAAGGGGAGGGTTTTCAAATCGGGCCCAAAATTTCGCATCAACTCAGCCAGCCGCTGAATAAGCGGGGGTGGGGTAAGAGGACACTTTTTTTTTTGGGGGGGGGGGGTCTCGAAATTTGAAAAATTGACATTTTGTCCAGTGGGGGGGGGGGGTAAGGTCACCTTTTTAAGGTCACCTTTTGGCAATTTTTTATTTGTTTTTATTAATTTTTTAATTTTTTTAATTTATTTAAAAAAATTTAAA